GGTATTTTCACGCAAATTCTTCAGCTAGTTGGGGTTTAGTTCACTTCTGTATCCTTCCCTTCAAGGCTCAGGGGTCCAAGATTATCTTCTGTGTCTGTGTCAATTGGTTTCCCTTTTCTTTGTTGAAGAGGGTCTGTGCTGTCCTTCTGCCTACTCCGCCATCTTGCTGGAACTCCCTAAATGTAAGCATTTTATTTAAAAAAAAAGAAACCTACTGAATTTATCAATACAGTGATTTTTCAGAAAACATGGAATTGTAAAACCATCAACATTTTTAGAACAATTTCTTTCACCCCTTTAAATAAAGTATCCTTCATCGATATCCTTTTGCAGATGTTCTTCCCCCAAACTCTACCATTAATCTGCCTCTGTTGGTATCCAGTTGGATATTTCATATAAATGGAATCATATAATATGTAGCATTATGTGACTGTTTTTTTTTCATTTAGAGGTTTATCATTACTTACATTATATCAATGATGTAACATGTATTAGTACTTCATTCCTTTTTATGGCTAAATGATTCCATTTGTCTATACATTAATGAGCATTGGGTTGTTTTCATTTTTTGGCTATTATGATTAATGCTATGAACTATCACATACAAGTTTTTATGTGGATGTATGTTTTCATTTTTCTTGGATTTTTACCTAGGAGTGAAATTGCTGGGCCACATGATAACTCCATATTTAACTCTCCGAGGAACAACCAAACTGTTTTCCAACGTGGCTATTCCATTTTACATTTCTACCAGCAATGTATGAAGGTTCTAGTTTCTACACATTCTCACAAGCACTTGTTATTTTCTTTCTTCTTGATTCTAGTATTCTTGAAGTGCTATTTCAGTGTGGTTTGATTTGCATTTTCCTAATAACTAAGGATATGAAACATCATTTCATTGTTTTATTAGCCATTTGCGTATCTTCCCTGGTGAAATGGCTATTCAGATATTTTGTCCATTTTTTAAATGTAAGCTAGGGTAGGATTTCTGATGTGATATATGATTTGCAAATATTTTTGTGCATCTTTCAATTTTTTAAAAAAATAATATTTTGTGGTTTTGGTGAAAGTTTACACAGAAAATTAGTTTACCATTTGATAGTTGCAACCAGATTTTTCAGTGACATCAATTACATTTTTTCACAATATGTCAACATTTTCTTTAATTGTAGTCTGGTGGTTCTGTTTCCAGTGTTTTAGTTTCCCTGCCTTCTTATTTTCTCACCTTTGCTTTACGGTTGTTGACCTGTTGGTCTCATAGATGGTTTTATAGTGGCACACTGTACTCATGGATATCTTTATATCATGTGTTACGTATGTTTGGTAGGTGCTGTTGAGTCATTTCCAATTTATAGTGACCATGTGTATAAGAAAACAAAACACTGCCTAGTCCCATGCCATTCTTAAAATCCTTGCTATACTTGAGCCCATGGTTGCAGTCACTGTGTCAGTCCATATTGTTGAGGGTCTTCCACTTTTTCGCTGATCCTCTACTTTACCCAGCATGATATCCTTCTCTGGGGATTGGTCCCTGCTAACAATATGTCCAAAGTAAGCAAGCATCCAAAGAGCATTCTGTCTGTGCTTGTTCCAAGTCGCTTGTTTATTCTTCTGCCAGTCTATGTTAAAATATATTTCAAGGACTCATCATTGTTCTTTATGGTTGTGTAGTACTCTATTTGTATGTATATAACACATTTTGCTTATTCATTCATCTACTGAAGAGCAATTAGTCTATTTCCATTTTTTTTGTTTGTTGCTGTGAATAGTGCTGCAGTGAACATAGGTATCCATATGTCTGTTCGTGTCACTTCTATTAGGTCTCTGGGGAATACACTGAGGAATGGGATTGCTGGATCATAGGTAGTTCTACTTCTTGCTTCTTGAGGAAGTACCATTTACTGTTTTCCATAGTGGTTGTACCATTTTACAATCCCATCAGCAATGAATAAGGGTTCCAATGTACCTACATCCAGGCCAACATTTGTTATCTTGTGTGTGTGTGTGTGTGTGTGTGTGCCATGTTAGCCAGAGTTAGATGGTGGTATCTGATTCTGATTTGTTTTTATTTGCTAATGATTTTGAGCATCTTTTCATGTGTTTATTAGCCACTTGAATGTCCTCTTTGATGAAATGTCTGTTCATGAACTTTGCCCATTTTTTAATTGGGTTGTCTTTTTATTGCTGAGTTGTTGAAGTTTTCTGTATATTTTAGAAATTAGATCCTTGTTAGTCATTTCTGAAGATGTTTTTCCCAGTCTGTAAATTGTCTTTTAACTCTTGATAAAGTCTGAGCATAACTTGTCTTTTACTGTTTGTGTATTTGTACTTATGTTAACCTATTTTAAAAAAAACAAACAGGATCCCATATCATCTTCTTAATGAAGTGTAGAAGGTTTTTATTTTGAAGTTCAATTTATTCCTTTTCTTAAAAATTAGTTTTAATTCCTCTTAAGAGTCCAAAGGCCTACTGTTACAGACAGACTCCATTGTACATTAAGAAAATGCTTTGTGTGTGTGATTTAAAAAAATTTTTTTACTGTGATTTGGGTGAAATTTGACAGAACAAATTCATTTTCTATACAGCAGTTCATACACATTTTGTTTCATGACATTGACTGCAGTTCCCACAGTGTAACACCTCTTTTCCCACTTCCTCCTTATACTTACCTCTTCCCTGTATCCTTCTTTCTTCTCCATCCCTGCCTCCTGAGTTATCTCCCTGTGAAAACACTGCCCTCCTATTCTCTCAAAATTGATCACTCTAAAGGATATATCTACCTGATGTAAACGTTTACCCTATATGTCTATTGTTTGGCTGGGAGCCACAGGAGTGAGTGCAAGTCCAGTCTTGCAGGGTAACTAGAGACTACAGTTAAACTTGGTCTTTTTTTTTATGATGTTGAGTTTTGTTCCACATTGTTCTCCCACTCTATCCAATATCTCCTGCACTGATCCCTTTCTGAGTGGTTGACAGTGTTAGCCGGGCACCATCTAGTTCTTCTGGTCTCATAGTTGTATAGGCTGAGGATCGCATGATCTGCTAGTCCCTTGGACTAATTGTTTCCATGAGTCTTTGGTTTTCTTCATTCTCCTTTGCTCTGTATGAGGAGAAACGCACTGTTGATCTAGATATACACTTGCAAGTTTTTAAGACCCCGGTCACTACTTACTATAGTAGAACGTAGAACAATGTTTGTGTGTAGTATGTTATGCCAGCCTGATGTCCCCTGTGACCATGATTGGCTGTGGCCAAAACATTATCATAACTTCGCCCCTTTTCAGCTCTGCTAAATATTTGGTTCTCTGGTACTGTAGTGCCTAAGACACTTGACTGCTAACCAGAAGGCTGGAGGTTTAAACCCACTAGCCGCTCCTTGGAAAAAAGACTAAGCAATCTACTTTCATAGAGATACCACCTCAGAAAGCCAACGAAGGATCACTATGAGTCGTATTCGACTTCACAGCAGTGAGGTGTGTTTTTTTTTTTTAATGTATTTGGACATTCTTATAGCACATACAAGGAGCTCTGGTGGCATAATGCCTAAGGCATTTGACTGCTAACCAGAAGCCTGGCATTTCAGACCTACCAGCCACTCCTCAGAAGGAAGGTTGGGCAATCTACTTCCATAGTGATACTGCCTCAGAAACCCCAGGAGGGGCCGGTATGAATTGGACCTGACTTGATGGCAGTGTGTTTAGTTTTTTGGATAGCACATATAAATACATATGTAGAAGTATCATCTGCCAACTTTATATATGGTCATGGGTATATTCCCTTTTGCCTGCATGTACGTGATCATTCAGCCTGCCTATCCATCTATTTACAGATTAATGTTTATTATCACTGACAATGCAGTATTGTATATGTAAAATGGTTTATCTTTATTGTCTGTACCTCTCTGTGTTTTCCTCATCCTCAGTGTCACAGTGTTGATCACTTCCTTTGGTACATTGCTCTTCCCTTCATCCAAATCAGTTCTTATCTCTACCTATCTAGCAGCTTTCCCTCCTATTCCTATTCCCTCCTATTCTGGTAACTAACAAAGAAGGTTTCCTTCCATATCTAAACCTTTCTTTGACTTTTTACAAAAGTGAACTAATACAATATTTGTCCTTCTGTGATTGACTTATTTCACTCAGCTTAAAAATTCATTATTCTTCATAAAATCTTTTGCCCATAATTTCAGATACATTTTATTTTCTTTAGATTATATATTTATTAAATTCATTATTTGGGGTCATTTGTCACAGATATACCATATTTTTTACTCAGACAGTGCAAGCCTTCTACATTTGTTTGCCAACAGCTTGCTCCCTTTTAGGTATTTTCATAAGCATGTTATGCTGATTTTTTTTTACAGCAATTTGTGAAAAATACTTTTAGCATAGCACTTAGGAAAGTACCTCGCAGTGAGAGGACACAATTGGCAAGCAAACATAGGTTGGGCACATGGCATTTGCTTCAAAATAAGGTACTACTATAATTTTAAAAGAAATACAATGGAATTTGATAAATGTAACTTTAATTTGTAGTTTTTTAATGATAATCTTTTATCCCTACCTTATCAGCTTCCTAGATCTTTAGCCTCTACTCCCACTGCTCCTACCAATCCGACAGTGCCAGATACTGCATCACAGGAAGAACTTATGGTTACCTTAATAACAGGACTAGCTTCTCTTACATCTAGAACGTCTATGGGCGTCATTGTTGTTGGAGGAGTGGTAAGAAACATTAATTTCTAGTATAATTTCAAAAAAATAAAATTTTTGCAAAGCTGTCTTTTAGATCATGAAAGACAAGTGTTATTTACTTCTAGTTCTAGTACTTATGAAATGATAGGTAAATTTATAGGTTAAAAGTTAAAAATTGCAAAGAGTTCCACAAGTTTAACCTTATATTTAAATATATATATGTATATATCCTTAGGAAAGAAAGACACCACCAACTTAGCTGGTCCTTAAAACAGTGCTTCCTTCATCACAGCACACAAAGAAATTATATTTGTACAGTGGAATAACAAGGGGATCAAATTGTTGACAAACTTGTAAGCTGGTGTTAGGAAACCCTGCCTTAAAAGTATTAAAAATTATTTTTTTACTAGTGATTATTATATGTTAAAAGGAGCTTTGCTGGTGTAGTGCCTAAGGCATTTGACTGCTAACCAGAAGGCTGGCAGTTCAAACGCACCAGCCACCCCTCGGAAGGAAGATTGGGCAATTTACTTCCGTAGATACACTGCCTTGGAAACCAAGTTGTTATGAGTTGGGTCTGACTCGACGGCAGTGAGTTTGGGTTTTTTTTTTATTTTATTATTTGTTAAAAGAACAGTTTATATCATTAACAGCATAGATTTACTTGTTTTGGTTTTTTGAATCTCAGTCCTTGAAAAATTACATATATTAGCAGGCCTTCGTCCATTTTGAGATATATTGACTCAACCTACCAAATGTGTAGCAGATTATAAAATTTCCTGCGTAATATTTATGCTGAAATCAATTAGAGACTATTCCCTTTTCAGCCTGGTTAATTTCCAGTAACTTCTAATTTTCTCAAAGAGAAGGAATATACATTTCTAGAAAATGGAACTTCACTCAGCTATCTATAGGGAACTGATGAATTTCCTAAACTGACTTTTAATATCATCTCCCAAGGAGTCCCTGGGTGGCATGAACAACTGGTTAAGAATTAGACTACTAGCCAAAGGCTCATGGTTCTGTCCCACCCAGAGGGACTGTCAAAAGACAGTCCTGGTGATCTGCTTCCAAAATGTCACTGCTTTGAAAACCCTGTGGAACAGTTCCTCTTGCATGCACGAGGTCGCCATGAGTCAGAATTGACTAATTGGCAGCTAAAAACAAGAACACAAATAATCTCCCAGCTGTGACTTTATCTTACAGATTTGGAAAACTATAGGTTGGAAACTCATATCTGTTTCATTAAGTATGTATGGAGCTTTGTATCTTTATGAACGCCTGACCTGGACCACTCGTGCCAAGGAGAGAGCCTTTAAACAGCAATTTGTGAACTATGCAACTGAAAAACTACAGATGATTGTGAGCTTCACAAGTGCAAACTGCAGCCATCAAGTGCAACAGTAAGTTGAAGGATGCATCTTTTGTTAAAAAAAAGAAAAGTTTTATTGAAATAGGATAGACATGTCAAAAATGTACAGAGAAGTGAACACCTCAAAGAATCATCAGAAAATGAATACATCTAGCAACTATCACTAAAATGAAGAAATAGAATAATACCAAACGTCAGAAGCCTCACTCCTGCCCTCCTAATTACTAGTCTTCATGTTCTCCTGCTCGATTAGATTTGAACATTTGCAGGTTGGTGGATAGGACCTCCCAAGAACTCCAGAGAGTCTTCAAAAGATACTTGTTCAGCACACTTATTCTAAATTGAGATGCCTACCCTTAAGATAACTGCAGTTTCTAAATTATTATGACTGAATTCTTAGCAGTTAACTAGTGGGCTCAGAATAGTGGGCAGATTCCTAATTTTTGATGACCATCATTTATTTTTACTATCATAGCTTGGAGAAGAGTAAAGGTAAAATTTTTTCAGAACTCTCAAGAATTTTTTTTTAATTATAAAAATAAGTATTTCTACCCAGTTTTTGCTTTTATGCATCTTAAATATTTATTGATTTAGTAAAAATGTATAGAACTTAACAAAGTTAATCAAGGTACAATATTCTATGTTTGGATGCTACTGAAAGGTGAATTTAAAAAGTCTCTGAGCTTAAAGATAATAGCAATGATACATAATAATAATTATATTGGAAGGCTGAAAGTGATAAATAATGTAGAATGAAAGTAAGATGTTGTGGTAAAGTAAGGCTATAATGAAGTTACTTATATCATGAAGGATATTGGATCAATAAAGTTTTCTTGGAAGAAAGGTAGCATATGAGATTTGAACCAAGGCTTTGAACTGGTTCAGTCATGCCAGACACTGCAAAATCAGAACAGACCCAAATTTGTAAAATGTGGGTGCACCATAATGGGAAAAACTATAAATAAAAGCCCTGGAATGGGAGATTTGAAAAAGGTATAGTGAGCCCTTTCAGGAAACTGATGTGGAGACTGGATTATTGCTAGAACTGTGGTGAATGAAACATACAAAGCAGTGCAGTCAGCTGCCATCATTGAGCCAGGCACCGTTTTTTCCAACTCTGCTGTTAATGAGATTGGATTGCTATGCAACACACATTGCTCCTGTTTTCTAAAAGTAAGATTAAGTTTCTAGCATGCTGCCCTTGTTTTCTGAAAGTTGTACCAGTTACCATTCTGATGTACCCACATTTTACAAATGCAGGTCCATTCCATTTTGCTTCATCACCCATGACTGTTCGAACTGAGAACTGGTTTGAACATTCTAATTTGTCCTAATTTGAACGTTCATAATAGGACAATCAATGCAGAGAAAACAGTCCAGCTTAAAGGAGGAGGGTAGTGGGGAAAGGGTATGTTCACTAATATGAGGAGAAAGTTTAATTGTGGCAGATGACTGTATAAAGGAAGTACATTTGAGTATAATTAATACAGGACCCTATATGTGTAGAAGTTGGGATTTGGATTATTAGGAATCCTGGAAGTGATAGTGTCAACACTTAACTCTAGAACAAGTAACTTGATAATGGTATAGTGTTTGGTATATGGTATATTAGGATCTGGTAGCATAGTGCCTAAGGCACTCGACTGCTAACCAGAAGCCTGGCAGTTCAAACCCACCAGCCACTCCTCGGAAGGAAGATGGGGCAATCTACTTCTGTAGTGATACTTCCTCAGAAACCAAGGAGGGCTCGCTATGAGTCGTGTCCGACTCAATGGCACATAACAGCAACAATAACAACAAAGTTAATGTATTGGCTACCACAAAAATTAAATATAACTCCTTTTTTTCTGGAAACACAGTTAAATTTTTGTATGATTTAAAGTATTTTTGTCTATGCCACAGTAAGTTCATAGAATTCTTTCCTTTCCTGTTCTTGGTAATTTCTTATTTTGTTAGGGCGGGGAACAAGAGTAAGGATTATTGTGCTTCTGAAGTATACCCTTCTGCCTTTTTATGAATTGCTCATACTCACAACTGTGTAACAGAAAATTTTGTTTCTTGATTATTTGCCTTGAGGCCAGATGACATTAAGCCTGAAGTCATAGTAAGCTTACAAGCCATACCCTCTCATAGAGTCTTAGCAATGTTCTTTTATACTTTTGTTTTAGCTACTTTTTAATACTTGGGATTACCTTTCTATATGAACATTAAATTAAAACTTACTTGTTTTAAAAGGCATTCATAACTGCTGGTAAAATTGTTTCCTATTTTAAGGGAAATGGCTACCACTTTTGCTCGCCTGTGCCAACAAGTTGATGTTACTCAAAAACATCTGGAAGAAGAAATTGCTAGATTATCCAAAGAAATAGATCAGTTGGAGAAAATACAAAATAATTCAAAGCTTTTCAGGTATTTGAACATTTTTTCTCAGTAACATGAACATTTAGTGGTCTCATTACAAAAATATAGTTGTGTGAAATCATTAGTAAATTTGTATTAAAACTTTTAGCTTTCTTCGCTGGTTTAAATTTAAATTTTCCAGATTTAATTCCCTGTGTTCGTAATTTCACAAACATTAATTTCAACAAGAGAAAACAAAAACAAGTTTAAAAGGGTAAGACTACTTGGATAAGACTACTTCATTACAATTCCTTAGGCTCATCTGTAGAATTGGAATTAAAATTAATTTTATAGATCTGTTTGTTAGGCTATATGAGCCCCTTTTCAGAGCAGTTCTTTAATTCAAAGTGATTGAGTTTTTAGTCCTATATATCCAGGACCCATGCTATTTTCTCATTAGGTACTATTGGGTACACTTAAATTGGGGGCAAACAGTCAAGATTTCCTAATAGAGAATTTCTGGTGAATATGATTTATTAATGTATTCTGGCTCTAAAGTTTTGCCTCTTTGAACAAAAAAGGTTAAGTGTTCCTGTGAGGTCTATGCATTTTGTTCTTAACTTTCAGCTTTAGCGCCCATTATTTGGTTCATCTACATGTTTGAGAGAATCATTAAGCATCATTTAATCTCTTATCAGGCCTTAATGCTGCAGAGTTGCCCATGTGAGAGTAGCCAGTGTTTACAATCTTT